TGTCGTAGAATGGAGTGCTTCACGCTGAGGCTACCTGAAATTTAATATTGATGGTTCTGCTCAAGGCTGTCCCAGTGAAGCGGGAATCAGGGAGTTCTGAGAGATGACAATGGACTGGTCCAGGCATCTTCCCAGAGGCCATCCGAGTTGGTGATCCCAGCCTAGCGGAGATTAGAGCAACTAGAGAGGCTCTCCTGATTTTTTCAGCGTCCAAGTCCAAACACATGCATTGGTTATCGAATCAGACTCTAAAATGCGGTGAAATGAGTCAACGATTCAACGGAAGCCCCAAGGAGGATAAGGAAGTGGATCTTGCACATTGAGAGGCTCAAAGAGGGAGTTAGAGAATGGGAGATTAATCATGTCTTTAGGGAAAAAAATCAATACGCAGACAGCTTAGCCAAAGAAGGGCTGCAGCGTCAGGTTGACTTGCTGAGTACCTTTGAGTAGATTAACCTAAAAAACCAACTCAGATAAGAAAGGTCCAGATATGGGGATGTTGTTCATGATTCTGTGCATGGGAACATAGAGAGCAAAACATTTTGTCTTCTGTTATTCTTGGTAGCTAGAGTTATGCATATAGAGCCTAAAATGTCCATCAAGTTTCATGACTAGCACGGCCATGAAAAGTGCTCGAGTTGAGATAGGCGAGACTAGGGAGTAAGTTGCTTATCTGGGATTTTTCTCTTGGGATTTTTGTCTGCTTGTGGCATTTTTCGAGTGGGGAGAATGCTGGATTTGGCTCTGCTCAGGCCTGATTTTGATTGTGAATTGCCAATGCTCAGTCACCTCCGTCAGTTTTTAGGGATGCTGGAATCTAGGACTTGTGTATAGATTTTTTTGTGTAGGGATAGAGTTGGTTTGCTGCTGTTAGTCTCAAAATCTGAGATTTAACAGGTTTTAATCCTCTTTATACCTTTCCCAGAGATGAACCATTGCTTCCTCCGGTTTTCTATATATATGGACTTTCAAAAAAAAAAATTGATGAGTTGTATTAAAGAATAGTTCTGTCTCCAAAAAGTCAGTACAGAAGGAGTCGAGGGAAAAGTGAAAAGTTGGTTTTGTAGGCTTCTAAATAGGAGAGAACTGTCGATTTTGGAGCAGGACTGTGACATGGTATTACTCCAGGGAGTTAGTTTCCGGCAGCTACAATTTTCAAGTTTGGAGCAGAGATATTAGGAAAATACAAATGATTTGTAGTTCAATAAATGCATGTTTCTAAGCATGATGATCATCAATACATATAGATCAATGATTACCATAGGAGAACATAAGGAAAAGGAATATCCACTAAATAAACAACCACCTGTCGGAGAAATTGAGGACCATTCTAATCTGAAGCTGCACTGAGTTCAGAGTTCAGGGGCTTGCTTCAATTTCACCTCTTAATTGTCAATAACAAGTATATCAAATCTTTCCAATCATAGAACATGGTTTAACAATCTAAAATAGGAGAAGATAAAAACCATAATTGGTTTGTTTCACGCTATATATCTTGATATGGTTCTTTTGGATATAAAGAGAGGTGGCTTACCCATGATCTGGAGTTGCACTTCTGGAGCTTCCCCCATGTCAAAGTTTCTGAGTTCAAAAAACGAAAAAACAGGCCGTGGAAGAGAGAAAGAAAAAGTAGTCGAGACTTATAGTGAATCGAAGCACGTGGCTTTATTGGCTGTGCAGCTGGATATGGTCTGGCAAACTGGTGCTGCATTCACTGCAACGGGGGAAGTCCACTCTCAGTCCTAGCTCTCCCTGGGTCCAATTTCATGCATTTTTCTTTCCCCACCATTCAACAGCTGAAAACCTCTGTATCTGCATCGTTCTGGTAGGTGTTGATTTTATGGTTCTATCTAAACACAGGAACTATAGGAAAGAATACTCGACTCGTTTTGTTCTTTTTCTCTTTGCTCTCTTTGGCTTTTAGCATTTTAATGACGGCTACATCATTCAGTGTTTGTACGAAACTTAGAAGTTATTTGGAATGAGACAACCGCTTTCCTTTACATGAACCGTTCCATGCCATCCAAGTACGTGAATCCCACGAACTTATCTGTTCATTGGATTATTTCTCGATTTGTGATCAAGAAATCTGTACATCTAAGCATCAAGGCCACTTTTATCATGTCTAGGCATCAGAAAGTAGGAAAATTCATTACCAAAAAGTGTAAGAAAGTTGATAGCAGAGCAAAGCTATTATAGTGGGGTTTGCCACTTGCTTAATTGTCCTAGGTAAATCATCAATGTTTCCTTCGTAAGCATGAAATGAAGAAATGTCGAAAGCATATCATTATTAATTATAGCAAAACTTTGTACAAGGGTTTGCTCCAAATAAATGTAGGTATGGAGTGAAACGTTGGCAGTTGCGACCCTTGCCCCTTTTTAAAATGAAACCCAGAGAAATTCTGTGAACTCTTTTATTTGACACTGGAAACCCATAACCACTATACTTATTGGCATTCTTGCTGAGAACGAAGGTGTGGGTTTAAGATCTTTGACTCTAACCGTCTAGCTCCCACAGTCAGTAGGACAACCTTTCCCCGACATGATTCCTTCGGTTACTGCCACAGGGGGAGGTGTGCACTACTTATAGCCTTATTACTGAAGACACAAATCTGAAAGAAATTTGTCTCTTTCTTTCTATGAACAGGAGTTTGAGAGACTGGCATGGGGAGTTTTCAATTAGAGTAATTCTCAGTTTAAGAGGTTAAGCTGGACTGCTTCCATTATACTTTGGTTTCTGGTGAAAGCCACGAGGGCTCTACTGCATAATCAGTATCATCATTATTAAAACAGCCGACACTCAGCTTCCTTCAGATTTTGGATATCTTTGCAAACAAAACCTTTTGGTGATAGTCGGGTCATCTGTACTCACTTGTCAACATCTTCTTCATTCATTTGTGGTACACCTTGCTTCCTATCGTTTACACGCGTTTCTTAGTTGTGTTTTTGTTGATTTCCACACAGCTGTCTTTAAACAGCCTTTGTCAAAGATTAATTCCGTGGGTTATTGGCAAACGTTTTATTCATTCGTAGAACAAATCATTGATTGAGAAGAGCATTATTTTTAATATATATATTTAAAATTAAAATTTTACAATCACACATTTGAAGGATGACTTTAAAGTTTGATGTGGAGATAGAGATTAGAGGGAGGGACCCTTGCATTTATTTTGAGTGCCAAACCACTTGAAAGTTTCCATTGATTAATGCACATAAAGTAACATATTGCAGCATAATGCAAAAGGCGAATTTAATTATTTAAGCCTTTATAAGGATTGCCTAATTAGGAATCAGTCAATTCCATTTTGCCCGTACATCCAAAGCTAATTCACTGTCATAGAAGCAATTACATGGTACTACTTCAACTTTAAACTTGCCTCAAGGATCATCATTATCGACCCTTGAACCCATTTCTAACCTTTTAGGGAAGACTTCGGCCTCCATGATCCTGCTACCCCAAAGCAAATACTACGTAATAATCTCTTTTTGCAGGAAAAAGCAAGGACACGTTGCAGGGGACGATGAAAACGAAATAAGCAAATTCCATTTAACCGCCCTTCTACCCGTATGTTGATGCTCGAATACAATAATTATTAGCCACAGGAAAATACTACCTACGTAGACAGATATTTTATTAAGCAATTAAAACCCCCCTTATTGATTTCAATTCCGATGGAATGTGTTGGTTGAGTTTGAAGTTATTTCCACTACAAGCAAATTACTTGCATTGGAAAAAGATAGCTTTTGAATTGTTGGAGAAGGTGGAAACTTTCCTGAAAACTTCACTACTTTTGTCCCTCAAAGGGTGTTAAAGGTTTATAAACGATGGAGGAGGCAAGTTCACAATAAGAGGAATTGCATTAGTATTGGATCTCGAATTTGTTTGATGGCGGAAAACACATCTATGTCACAGGAATCTACATTTTCCTTCAGTGAATGACCAAAAAATGACAAAAGGAAATTATATACTGCAGTTTCCAATATTACAACAAAATGTAAAAGCAAAAAAAAAAAAAAAAAAAGATTTCCTTCCTGCCGGTTGCCTGCCCCCCCATCATACTCCCAACTCCCAAGGCAAAGCCAGGATGTTGAAGTTTCAGCTCAAGGACAAAAATAGAGGGCATTTTTACTCAAAATTGTTGGAAACACTTGATCCGAAAGTTACATCTGCAGACATCTTACGAATTGTTCTTATTCTGCTCCAACTATATATTCTTTTTCGTGTGTCCAATGTAAAAGCTCTGTCTAACCCTCTGAGTCTTGCTTTCTCAGGCCTGTAATTATGGAATCAATATATGCAGGTCAAGAACATAACAAATTTTATGCCACAAAACTCATTAATGCTTCATTTGAATTAGGGGCTTACTCGTGAGCAAGGAATCTGAAGAAGAATGAGTGAGGTGCAGTACACAATCAGTGAAATGGCTATTCCAGCCACAAAATTGTATAGCAGCCGTCGGTTTTCTTTCGTGGGTATGAAAACTGATTTAAGCGTATTTGTTAATTCAAACAGGCGATGAGATATCTGCAGAGAAGCAAGGCAAGATGGCAAGAAAATGAACAAATGAATAAAATCAAAACTGTTGGCAGAACATGGGAGTGGAGAAAATTTTACCAAGATATAAATAGCAGTTGTGAGCATGAAGTTGAGCAGCGGATATTCTGGGACAAGAGAAAGAAGCCACTTGGGTTGTCCGTTAGGCATGTCTGATCTGCATGGATGTAGTGCAATTATAAGAATCTTACAGACCTGTAAATCTGTTTCTCTTAGGCTGCTTCAGTGCTTTGAAGAATTATCTTGCTTTGAAAAGGATGCAGAGCCAGAACTAGACATCAAGGCTAACCTATTTATCTACCAGGCTATTTTCTAAATATGAGGTTGCGGAACAAATTAAAAAGAGAAAATTTTAATTGGTCCACAAACCTCAACCAGATATGAAATTGAGAAATGTAAGTCTCCAGAGTTATCTTGCCAAGCCACCTAGGAAGCACAAAATGTAGCTTAATTAGAGTAAGTGCAAAATAACGCCAGAAACTCTTCAAAAAGCGAATCAATTGTCCTTTATGGAGAGCACAGGTTGAATGAATTAGTTATAGTCCAGAAACATACGCAAAGAGAGTCAAAGAGAAATTCCGAAGCTGCTGAGTACAATTCCGCAAGCAAATGTAGACACTAGAATCACAAGAAAGCAGAAATGATTATCAGATCCTTGAAATTGAACTAAAGCAATTTAATTGTACAAGATATTCCATGTGCCATCACATAAACTTCCTCAAATGTTCCAAGTGAATTAGAAAAAGAAATACTTAATACGCACGTTATCGGGATCCAAGAAGTGTAGGGATGATATTTGTTGTAAGAAACCTTGTCCAGCTTGTAAATACATTCATACCACATATAGCCAACCTGAAGAAATTAAGAAAATTCAAAAAGTGTCTGTCAAAAACCAATAAGCATAATAGTAATATAATGATCAAAAGATCAGGCAACTTACAAATAAGGAAACTGCAATAATGCTTGCTTTAATTGAGAATTTTCTCTTGGTTTCACATTCCTCCAATTTTTCCAACCATTTCTCAACCTAAGATTTAAAACATTTCAAAGAGATTGTTACTTGTGTGCCAAGAGAACAAGACTTTCCATTGACTAAAAATTTTAACAACTTACATTGGGATGATAATAGGCATATATCATTCCAATGATCCATATATAGCGATCAAGACCAGATCTAAAATGCCACTCATGCAGTCGAGTGAGATCCGGTTTTGCAGGATCAGTGTACCCTGCCATTTGAAGGGAGAAAAAAAGTGATATAAGCAAATAGTTATAGCATATGCTAGAAAAGAAGAATGAACATAAATATTAAAAAGAAAATTCCACTGGATTCATTCACATGTAAGGTATGCATATTTGAAAGCAAGACATTCCAACTTAAAATGCAATAAAACATTTTTAAAAAAAAAGGGATTTAGAAGCATATCTAGGGAGGTGAATACAAGAATATGAACTTTCTCGGAGGTTGATAAATCAAATGAAGCATAAAAGAAAAAAGTTAGGTAGGTTGCTGACCTAATAGGAAAGATAATGGACTCCAGAATATTTCAAAAACTCCAGGAATTTCCCAAATCAAGATAACTACCAGAAAGCATGCAAGAATTTTCACAGCCATCACTGATGGTATCTCATTATGCTTGCTGAAAATCCCAAGAGCTCCATACACCATTAGGGTGAATAGCGTGTGCATCGGGCAGATGTAGTAAAGCATATAGTCATTGTTGAGAACAATACAGCAAAATGCCACGAAGAAGTTTAGTCGCCACATCATCTGCATAATATAGAAGTTCTAAAATTGATTGATATGTACAAAAATATCAAGAACTACATAATCGGTATGCTTATATGGGATTATAACCCAGAGAGAGAATCTCACCTGGGTGAAGCGTGCTAGGCTAAAGTCCTTTCTAATATAATAATATGAGAAGTTGCCAAATCCAGTCATCCAAACATATGCAGCAATGAAGACACGTATTGCATTATATAACTCCGTTGCAGCAAAGTAATGGTACATTAGAAATAGGACCTGTAAAAACAACAAGGGCAGGTAAGTGCAGCCCCCAGAACTCCTAAATACTATTTAGTGCAGAAGAAATGGTCAGTAGGTAGCATGGAACTGCAAACACAAGCAATCTGATAAATCTGACTGACATAGGAATTGGCACATGAGAACATTCAGTGCAGATCTGAAGACTGAAGACTCAAATCATACAGCATTTTATGGGAAAAATCTTTCACCAATATTACAATGAATTAACAAGAGTAAAAGAAATAATAAGTCAAATGAACTCCTGTCAATGTTAATGTACAAAAAACATTACTAAATCATAATTTAGGTAGCTATGACCAAATGGAAAAAGGTACTTTGGGAGACAGATATCACCTTCCCAAGGGAGAAAAAACATTTACAAATTAGATCACAATGGGCAAAATAAATGCAAAAGAATATCAGAAAATACAATGCAAATACCTTCTTTTTTAAAAAACGTTAAGCAAGGGGGATGGGGTGTTTGCGGGGTTCGCAAGCTCAAGTATAACAGGTTAGATGTCTAACAATAAAAACTCACCTGCATCCATCCTTTCCATTCTTCAGTTTGATGCCTACTGAGGTATTGCATGGTTTTTCCAGAGAACGCTGATTTGTCACTATGTTTCTTCAAAGAAGTCATTGCTGAAACTATGATGAGAAGAGCGTAGAGGAAGAGGAAAAGGTCACGGTTGTATTTCTGTCCAAGAAAACCCACATAAGAAATGCTATAGCAAGTAAATAATAGTGTTTCCCTATAGTGTTCATCAACATGTGAATAAAAAGCACTAACCCTCAAGCCACCATTAAAAAACAAAAAGCAAATATATAGCTACATTAAACCATTTAAAGTGGGAAATCAATCATTCTAACCACGAGCTGAAAATACTTTCAGTCATTCATGGTGTTCTTTTATATTGAACTATTAGCAAAAAGACAAAGTGATCACAAACTGCTTATTACATTAAGAATAAATAATCCTCCCAAACTACAAGACTCAGGGTGCAAGTCCAAAGAGAAGAAGAGAAGAAATGAGGTTGTCTATGTAAATAGCAACTGCCCAAAAGCAAGACGAGGTTTTCTAGACGTGATTATAGTCCTAGTCATGAGTATGGTTATTTATACAAGTAAAATTAAGGCCCTTTAAGGAATGCAGATGCATAGGTATACTTAAGCGGCTTTTCCAAAATATCACAGATCAAATCATGAATTACGATCAATAACACAAACAACAAGTATAAGAGCACCTTCGTAGATTCTCCTAGGAAATTTGTGCGGTCACATATATAGAAGTACACCAGAATAGCCGCAAACTCAGCCCTGCATTAGATTGTATAGTTAAACATAAGAAGAAACAAAAAGCTACCAAAGAAGTGTACTTGTGGCATATGACTAACATTGCTCTCAAAGTTGCCCGATTTTCCACCAGGAAAGAGTCTTCCATAGTCAAAAACCTGGAAATATAAGGAAATAGTAAGATGGGTTTACAGAGTGCAATCATAGAAAACAGCGTAACAACACTGAAGTTCAAAGAAAGCAACCTAATCAAGTTTGTTTTGATGGATGAACTATGGAATTTAGCAGATGCTGATCTTGTGAGACCTCCTTCCAGCAAAACAGCCCGGTCATCTTCTTTAATTGTCTCCTCTCCTAATTCAACCAGATTATTGTCTGAATGACTGCATATTGGAACTAAGTTGTCAGCATCAGCAAATATTGAAGTCAATAACTCTAAAGATAGGCCTATAAGCCCTATCAAATTTGTGCACCCATGTTAACCCCTAAGAGAAAATATTTCTTACACTTTAGAATGAGATGCAGATTTCCTGCATTCTAGGAACTCTGAATATATCCATGCAATGAAAACCGGGATAACTCCTAAGAGAAAAGACACCTGCAGCGTAATAAAAAGGCTTCTTTAAATATCTCAGGCAACACTAGATCGTACAAGAAAAATAAATAAACAGAAAAGTGCAAAGAAATATCAAATAATGCATACATAAGAACAAGTTATAACAGTGGAGAGAAATATACACATATGGGCATGATCAAAGAAGTTTAAATAAAGAAAAATGAAACCACAAATGCAAGTAGATGTTGAATGAATTAGAATGCCATTGCCGCATTACAGCGAATGCAGATAAGTTCTTTTCATCAAATATTAAGTAAAGCCTCAAAAACGTTTCCAAGACCATGCACATTAGATTCTATACATTATATACACTAGTATTATGATGATCAACCATAATTCATTAGATTCAGCACACTGTCACTAAGTTACGAGTCAAATCATTTCACTCATCAAATCAAGCGTCCGAGTTATGTAAATCCAATAACTATTAAAATTCTTATAAGAAAAAGAAAAATTCCAGAAGGAAAATAAAATCAAACATCACCGAATCAAAAATTAAAAAAAAAAACATTTTCCTCTAAACTTCTTTAGAAATGCATAAGCATTCAAAATCTATAGATAGAAAGAAATACAAAATTTGCAGTGCAAATGCACCATACTTTCTCAACAACGAAATAACAGAATCCAAAACTAGTACATAGAAATCACAAAATTCAATACTTACAAAATTACTACATAAATTTTCAGCTCAAAAAATCACATTGTCCAAATTCATTTCAAATTACAAAATCTCAAAACTGAATCTAAACTAACCAACAACATTGAATCAATAAAAATTCTAATTCAAAATCGTACCTGTCCAGGTGTAATTGGCCCAGAAACCACCATTTCTATTTTTGGATCAAAAACAACCTCCTCCCGACTGTAAAAAAATTGGAACGGCACCGAATCAAATCAATCCAAGAAAGGAAAAAACACAAAATCTCAACTGGGAGTGAAAAGAGAAGCAATGGCTACCGAAGAAAGAGATAAACAATGCGTCGAATTGAGTGGTGTTGGGCTAAGACATGCTCATAAATACAACCCCTCGAACAAAAGTTTAATTTTAACAATAAGCCAATTAGGAGATTCGGAAACGATGGAGATTAAAGAGAGAGAGAGAGATCGTAGCAGCTTGCTTGAAGAATAGAGAAAAGGGTCCGATATGACGTCGTTTTCGCTCTCCCTTTGTTTTTCTTCTCTCTCCACGGTTGTTGTTGCCGTGGTGCTGTTGTTGGGTTTGGTTTTCTGGTTGCTATTTTGCTTTCAGTTTTGGGCGTGAGAATGCGAATGTGAATCTGATGTGAAAGATCAGAAAAACAAAATAAAATAAAATAAAATATTTTTAGAACAGATCGAATGTTTTATTATAATAATTAATTAACTGTAAATTAGTATAGTAAACCTTATTAGTATTATATGTGCAATGATCCCAAGGAATTAGGAATGAATAATGGCTAGTAATTAGGCTTATCTTTCTAATTTAATCATGTTTTGTACTTTCTATTTATGCTTCTCAAGTTGAACTTATTCATCTTGATTTGAAATACTATATTCTTGCCACTTTAACAACATTTTACGATTATAGAAAAATAGAAATTTTAATGATAACTAAACAGTATTTTTACAATTTAAAAAACTACTATATATATATATTATAACTGTGAAAAACAGATTTTATTTTCGATTTTATTAATATTGTAAGGTACAATATTAGGAGGTTACACGGCACACTTGCATTATACTACTCTAAAGTATGATCCGATCAAAACATTAGGTGATATTTTTTTTTTTAATTTTTAATGTGATATTGAATTATATATCTTTTTTAATTTGTGTAATATTTTAAGTAATTTTTTAGGAGGGTGGATCTGCTGTGAAAATAAACCGGACAACGTAGACCTTCATTGTGGGCCATTGAAGGCTAGTCAATTTTATTTTGATTTCATAACTTTTCAAAAGCTTGATCAAATTTTGATTGTGATTGTTGTTGTCATGAATATCGAACTAAGCTAACATTATTGATGACTAGTCAATTTCGGTCGGTATACGAGACTTTTGATTTCAACCGTCCATTAATAAATACTGTTGACGATGACTCCTGGACTCTCTGAGCCGACAGATTAAGATTTTCACATGTGACCACATTTTATTACTGTGTGCATAGATTTATAGAAACTTATTTTTTTTTCTTTAACTTTGGACTTTGTCAGGAAGAAATGGCCTTATTCCCTTGGTAGATGGGGACAAAATGGCAAGGTTCTTTTCCTTTGGCTGTATGCAGAAGTGCAGATTAAGGAACCCACCTAATCTGTTTTTTTTTTTTTTTCATTTTCATTTTTTGGTTGGGTTAATCAATTGATTAAAATAAGTACTCTTTGGCTTGTTCTACAATGGACAAGCTGGTTAATAATTGTATCTTGTTTTTAATATTGGTTTTGGTAATTGAGAATGGTATGATTTGGTAACGCTAATATTGACAATCTAGCAGAAAGGAAACCAAGTGAAATACCAAAACCAGCCCTGGGGAATCTGGAAATCATTTCCTGAACCAAAGCCCCTTTCTCTACCGACTTTGTAGCACTGATGGATGATAGCATCGAAACTTCTGACCTTACTTTTGTTAGGTGTCGGTTTAGGGCCTACTTGCAGGCTGAAAATGGTGGGCAGAGGCCGGTGACCCAATAGACAGTCCATTAACCTCCTTAAATTTTGTCTTCAATGCAACTCCCTGTACGAAGTCTGTGAAAAGCTACGGAATTAAACACTTTTGACACCTAAATCAATGGATAATGTGAATTAATAGTTTATAAGCCTTAAAACTCACATTAGTTTATATGATCTTTATAATTTACCAGAATCTCCTTCAACGGGTTCCTATTTCTAGTCAATATCTAAACAGTTAGATGTTAATTATTGTGAGCATGAACTGTATTAATCTAGGTAAAGAAAAAAGGATTTGATGGATGATAGGATTAGTAGTATTGGATCATGCAAGTGGAAGTAGCTCTAATCATAAGCGCAGGGCAGGGAAGCTCTAACATATTGACTTTGCTTATATTCATGTCTAGATGGCAGGTGAAATTCAATCTGTAATCTTTGTATTCTTTATGTCAATCAACAGATTATTATAAGACTATGACAGGACAATGGCACATGCTAAGAAGCCTCTAAAAATATTTGTAACTTAAACAAATTAATATTCTTTACAAATATTAGGAAAATCATGTCTTAGAATTAATCTTAATTGGTGTGTAAAATTAATCTTAACTTTTCCTCTTATTATAAAACTCATATCTGTTACCGATAAATATATTATCTATACGTGAATTTAATTCAATTTAATTATTTAATTTGTTGATTTGCTTGGGTTAATATTTGGTTCTTCAAGTTGATATTATGTGACATGTGTAGTAAATTATTTAATTGTGTTCATTTCTACTTCCACCTTAAATATATTGAAACCTATATGCTATCAATATCATGCCTATATGAACTTTGATCAACTCCTACAATTCAAGCTCGAGCAATCTAGTATAAATGAAATGTAATCTCTTTGGCTTTTTACTTGATTCACCCGGCAAATATCTAGCCCGCCAATTTATGTGTTATCAGTTTGAGTTTGTTAGGTGTTTGATAATGACTGAAAAACATAAATTATGGTGTCATTCTTTTCTCAAATATATATATATATATATATATATATATCTATATATGTATGTATACTTACTTACTTTGAGATAAACCCTTACAGGAGCACTATGACATTTTTCTCTTTTAATTAGTGTAAAATAGATTAAAAAAAGGTGATATTTCCTCTTCAATTATTGGTTAATCAATATCTTAATGAACACTTAATTCTTCTGCCTTGACTGCATATAACTAAGGAATGTCTCATATTCAACTCCATTAGTGATCTTTCGGCTGTACTAGTCTGGAATTTGGTGACCTCAACACGAAACCAATTTCCCAATAATTTCGTTCAAGTCGTGACAGAAAACGTGGCTCCTATACGCCTCTCAAGTTAAATTTAGCAATGACAAAAGCTAGGTGAGATAGGCACTTACATTGTTTTCAATTGGTCAAATATGCTGTCAAATGCTTGTTTCATAAGCGTATATTGATTAAAATTTGATTAATTAGAAATAAAAATACGAAGGGAAAAACATTTCCAGATTCTGGGATAGTACTATTTAACTAGCAAACTGAAGAATGTTAGGCCAGTTTCCCATTGCACCGTCACCCATTGGCTGGGAGCCTCCTTATTGGATCATATGACTTTGGACAAGGATTCTGCCTTTTCAGACAGGATGACTCATAATTATAGCAGCATCTCTTGTTCGGGCTTATTTAAACTTTTTCAGCTTGCCTTTTCGTTTTCAGCCTAGAAAGTCCAAGGAAGGAGAAGAAAAAAATAGTTTTGCACGTTATCAAACAGAAGTCAAATTTCTGTTCATGAATGTATGTATTCAACATTGCAAGCTGCTGCATTTCCAACAAAACCCTCGTTGCCTTGAAAGCAAAATGACCAGCACCACTTGGCAAATAAAGAAATCAGACTATAACTCTTTCAGACTATAGCTAGACAAGGAACTGACAGAGGAAATAAATTCTCGCATTCTCCATTAATAGTTCCATCAAGGATGATGATATACAAACATAAATGCGACTTTTTCTAGTATTACAAGCCTGGAATCCTCTTAAAACTAGGTTTTTCCTTCGAAAACAACTACGACGACCCTCACATCTCTTATCAAAGAAACATTTCCTACTAAATGCGGCAACTCAACCAAGTTTCAAGTGCAAACAAAAACATTTCCACTCCCATCTAGTCCTTGATGTTAGGTCTTTCTCAGACCAGTAATTGAAGAATAATTCTTAGGTTCGAAAGAAGTTAGATGAAACTAATAATAAAGCAGTCAAATATATATTTATATATATAATTATAGATATAGATATATATATATATATATATATATATACAAGGAGTAAAAGAGATGTCGAAAGAGACTCATGGCTCATGCTTAAGGAACCTGGAAGGAACTATGTCTTGAAGAAGTCCATAGTCAGGAACCTGATGGTGGTACTGCTGAAAAGGGCTAAAGTTTTCCGCAAACATTGAACCTGCTGAACCAGCTTGGTTATTCATGTGATGAGGCATCTGCAAAAACAATTCATGAGGGAAGCTTGGCCCCGCCAGTGGCGATGGCGTTAACATGGAAGGTGGGAATAGACCTGCGGCGCTTCCTCTCAGTGTTGTCGGAAGTGGGTGGTTGTGTTGGCCTTCATATGTTGTGATCACAACTGACGGATCCTGGAATGACCTCTCAACTCTTTTCTTGACTGTACACTTCTGAGTAGTGCATCTGTAGTAGCTTCTGCATTAATAAAATCCAGAAATGTGCCTCAGATTAAAGAAATTCTCGCAGGGTAAAGAAGATAACAAATTAGTGTTAAGCAGGATTAGCAATTTCAGATTACATAAGCTGGAAACCTTTCAGCAGTGGAAACACAAGTTTGTACTTGTTTTGCCAATAAAGTCTAGTCATATAGAGGGAATTAAAGAAAAAACGATTTAGTAACTTGCAAAAACAATTAGGCAAAGCCATCAACTTACTACTTACTTACAGCTTAAGTTTCATATATTGACTGATGATCTTGGTAGTCAAAAAAAGGGGGTTCAAAGATGTAATGCAAGCGCACAGCAAACAACAATCAGGGTTCAGACATAAGGTTTTGTGTGTAGTTTATTGATTGTATAGAAGATAAGATAATTTCAAATTTTGTTTGGTTGTAAATAAAGGAAAAACCAACCTTGGATAAGGGCTGTTCTTCACAGCTTTTTGTCCATATTTTCTCCATCTATACCCATCTTCTAGATGATCAACTTCACTTTTTGTCATGAAAGCAAATCGTGGTTCTCTTTGCTTTTTCTCTCCTTTCTTTTTTGCTTTGTTCCTGTTAGATACAATAAACACAACAGTTACACCCCACATGTCTATCAAAGAGTTGATAGTCATGGACTAATAAGCAATATTTGAACCAAAAAAACTTACCCTTTCTTGGAGCTTTCTCCTCCATCTTCTGACCCTTTTGGCTGCCTATCTTTCTTACTCTTATCTGAATCCTCTTCACAACCGGCCTCGCTTGAGGAAGAAGAAATAGATGAATTAGGAGTCGTCATAACTTCGCTAGTATTTCCTCCTAAATCCCCTGCACCAGCCTGCTTCGTCTGATTGCCTTCGACTGAAGAAAACACTTCAGAGGATGAAGGTGACAAACCAAAGGCTTTTTCAAGTGAACAAT